TCAGAAAAAACCTTCTGATGAAGGGTCTAGGCCCGAAACGTCAGCCTCTCTGCTCCTATGATGCTGCTTGGCCTGCTGTGTTCATCCAGCCCTGCACCTTGTTGTCTAGTATGCTTCAGGATGTTGGTTGATACGCTGATGTCACCCAGGTGAAGGAGACTTTGGAAGGATTGTGGATGCCAGTTCAGTTTTGCCGAAGAGTGATGTTCCATTGCTGATTACAATATATCGGATTAGTTTACTCCAGAGGTCTATGCCAGTGTTTATGCTCACATGGGCCTCCTCGCACACAACTCCATCTCACTGCATTAGGATATTGTAGGATTTCAGAGTGTGGTCTCAGTACTTGCATGCTTATCCAGTGCCATTGAAGGTTGGGGCATTGGAAATGAGGGCAGGAATCCCAGAATTGGGTCTTTTTTGCCATTTTTCATTAGCTCTGCAGTCCGTCTGGCTCCATGTAATTCTGATCCGAAGTGTCAGTATAGTGCATTGCTGTGTCAGGTACAAGACAATTAGATGCAGAGTAAAGCCCCAATTAATATTAACAAAAGAGTCAGTTCTCATTTCAAAAGAACATTCTTAACATTGTCAGTGTTGTACATTTCTGTGTTGAATACTGGCCACTTTGTGATAATATGAGTGAGATTGCTAATTTGAAATAAACTGCATACCCATTGTCAGTAAGAACTGGATTTAGATTGTCCAAATTCATTTAAGCTAAGATTCATATAGCCAGTAGACAGAAGAAACTATCTATGCTAGATTGAATATCAATCCCAAAGGAGAAAGCTCAATCCTTAAATCTTGAACCTGAAATCACAAGAACATGAAATTATAGAAGGATGAATAGACCATGTGGCTCTTTGAGTCTGATCTGCCTTTCAATATGATCATGGCTGATCTCAGCTTTAATTCCACTTCTCTGACTATTCCTCAAATTTCTTCATTTTGTGATAAGCTTACTGTAGAAGATGGAATACTGCAAGAGTCAGGGAATTTTGAGGTACTGGGAAATGTAAATTAGTACTTAAAATGGTGGATATGAGGTCTGAATTCAATTGAGAATGAAGAAAAATGTAGGATTTGATTCCTGGATGGAACAAGAGAAGGAAAACTGATAAATTCTATAGAGTGACTATTAAATGGTTTTGTTTATGTTTCAGTGTTTAAGGACTGTGAGACTGTGTATATTGAAGAGAATGCTGAGCTACAATCAAAAATATCTGCAGATTCCAACTCCTTCTGAACATAATTGGATTGAAGATCACGCAGATGACTACTACCTGAAGGATCCGGATCAGAGGCTCGATGAGTTGCCCCAACCATTCAGAATGATTGATAAATTAATTGGACACATCATAGACAATGCTTGGGACAACATTGAGAAAAGAGAAGCAGAAAGAGAAGCTGAAAAATTAAAGATAAAACCACCTACTCATGAAACTTCAAAGGAAATTCAGGTCAGCAAATGTACTGTAACCCAACAAATACCACAATTCAATTCTATCTTCTGTAACCATTGGCTAGGTATAGTTTTGTGGCTGCACCATTTAACTCTTCAATGCCAGAAATGCAAATGTCATAACTTCTGTACTAGATTGACATTACAACACAAAATTAAGCCAATAGTTAATCAAGTCTACTTCTGTTTTTTTCTTCATGAGCCATACATCTCATTCTTCTTCTCCCCTTTTGATCTGTAATATTTGTTTTATTTTTGTTTCTTTTTCATGATGTGGCTGTACAGGACATTGGTTAGACCACTTTTGGAATACTGTGTGCAATTCTGGTCTCCCTACTAGAGGGAGGATGTTGTGAAACTGGAAAGGGTTCAGGAAAAATTTATAAGGATATTGCCAGGGTTGGAGACTTTGAGCTACAGGGAGACGCTGAATAGGCTGTGGCTATTTTCCCCGGATCGTTGGAGGCTGAGGTGTGACCTTATAGAGGTTTATAAAATCATGAGGGGCAAGGATAGGGTGAATAAACAAGGTCTTTTCCCTAGGGTGGGGAATAGGTATAAGGTGAGAGAAGAATGATTTAAAAGGGTTCTAAGGGGTGACTTTTTCACACAAAGGGTGGTGCATGTATGGAATGAGCTGCCAGAGGAAGTGGTGGCAGCTGGTACAATTGCAACATTAAAAAGGCATCTGGATGAGTCTATGAATAGGAAGGGTTTAGAAGGGTATGGGCCAAATGCTGGCAAATGGGATTAAATTTATTTACGATATCTTGTTGACATGGACGAGTTGGACTGAACGGTCTGTTTCCATTCTGTACATCATATTGATCTCTGACTCTATTTGCTAAAAGTCACTGGTTGTTGCTGAAGTATAGTGCCATGGGCACACACAGTCTTGCAGTATCTGACCTAGGGATCTGTCATGCTTGAGATAGATAAGAGATAGCTTTAATTATTGATATGACTTGTTGCACTCTGGAGATAATACCTGAACATTTTTGAAAGTTGAATTATATTTTGATTCATCAACGTGAAGAGATGTCATTGCTAGAGACACAGGCAGTAGGTGATTCCGTAGCTTTGAACCCTGCTTCTGATTTCTGTTCAGTAAACTTGAAAGCAGTTAAAATATCTTTGGTCAGAAAAATATTCAATGATGGCTAAGATTATGTTAATTCTATCTCCTTTTCAACAGCTTCCTGGCAATTTAAACTGTTTTGCAAACATTGTGGATGGAAACGATATCTTTGCTGGCATGTCTGAAGGTGTGGTGGTTCTGAACCAGGAGGATCACACTATTAGATCTGTTTGGAGGATGGAAGGTGTGGACATTGTTGCTCTTCAAGTAAGGCATGTTGGAGGCCAGCTGTACCTGCTTGCTGCTCTAGATGACATGGGTATTTACCTGAAAATATTTATTATTTAAAAGTTTATTTGCCTGAATTTCTCCTATTCTCTTTGCAAAGTCCTTTTTCATAAGAGTTGGGGTGTGCTCTTGTTCTCCTTGTTATTTTTATTGTATCTTTATTCCCTGAATATCTGCAGGTTGATTACTTGTGGCTTTTTCATATCTTCACTAAGGTCGTTCATAAACTGAGAATCCAGCACAGTTGGAAGTAAAAGAATGTCTACTTTCTAACCCTTGAGTCTTGTTACTCCTGTGAGATAATGTAGGAGATGTGTTCATCTCATCTCATGTGGAGAAGACCACAAATCCTGCAATCTTGGAATGGAAAATTACAATGCAAGTGATACCTGATTACTCCCCTTAAGTTCTTCTTCCACTTGTTGAATACATGCTACAACAGATCATAGTTATGCATTGTGGAGTAACTCTATATGCATTTCAAACCAGTAGCAGACATTGTTGAGGCCTGATGGCTCCAGACGCACCAACAGATCTGTCTAAATGTGTACTTTTTCTTCATGCTGTTTTCAACACGTCCCATCATACGAGTGACTGAGTACATTCTCTTTTCTTTATTCTTTTATGGGCAATGGGTGTCATTGTGTTATCAGCCAAGTCAATGGTAACACTGGAAAAGTCAAATCCCAAAGTGCAACCTGGCTTCACAGACTATAAGTTTTATTTTTCTTATTTGTTTATTTTCACTTCACATACTCACAAGATGGTGCCAGTGTACTTTTAACAAAAGAACATCAAAGTATATTGCACACAAGGGAAAAATATCTATTTTGCACAATTGAAGAACTATTTGAAATGATATAATTACAAATATCAGAATTAGAGATGAAAACCTTTAACGTTAACAACAGCCTAACAGATACTCAAAGCTCAGTGAAGGGTTGCCCAATCTTCTTTTTAATGTTCCTTGTTCTTTTGGCATGGCTGTAATTGGTTTCTAGAGCTTTCTTCTTGCTGACATCTAAACATTTTTAGAGAAAACACATGTGTGTTCCATATCCTGAGCTTCTCGTAATTTTCTACTTCCGGAGTTTCCTTTTAAGCTGCTCAGGACTCTAATTTCCTTTTTAGAGACTGCTAAATTAATAGCATCCTTTGTTCTGACTGAACCTACACACGCCCTAAAAGAAACATGCACATTGCCTTTCTAAATGAACTTGTTTCTGACTGTGTCTCCCAGTATCATTGAATACTTTCTTGCTAGGCAGCAACCCAATATTTTTCTCTCATTTACCCTTGTTACTCTTAAGTTTTCACCTCAATTGGTTTTGAAAACCTCATTTAAATGCATGTAAAGCTCCTGACAACCCATTCACAGAAGTCAAACTGAAACGAATGTCCTTTCATTTTTAACTCTCAATACAAATCAAACTTGAATTCTTCACTTAAGAATGTATGTTCTCAAACGATATTAATATATTACGAGCCACATCACAGCTGGAAAGATCAACATTTGTTACCATCCCTAACCATTTATGAATTAAGTGGTTGCTGGACCATTTGGAAGGCAGTTAAGAGTTAACGACAATGCTCTGGGTTTGGAGCTGTAGAGATGACCAGACTAGGTAAAAATGGTAAATTTCCTTCCCCAAAGGAAGGGCAATAGTGAACCAGATGGGATTTTACAGCAGTCAGTGATAGTTTCGTTGTCACTGTTAGCTTTTAATTCCAGATGTTTTATTTACTGAATTGAAATTCTACCAGCTGCTGTGATAGGATTTGAACGTATTACATAAGAACATAAGAAATAGGGGCAGGAGTAGGCCATCTGGCTCAAGGAGCCTGCTCAGCCATTCAGTAAGATCATGATCTTTCCCATAGGCTCAGGTCCACTTACCCGCCCACTCACTATAGCCCTTAATTCCTTTACTGTTCAAAAATCTGTCTATCTTTGCCTTAAAAACATTAAACATGGTAGCCTCAACAGTTTCTCTGAGCAGGGAATTCCACAGATTCATAACCCTTTGGAAAGAGGAAATTCCTCCTCAGCTCAGTCCTAAATCTGCCCCTTCTTGTTTTGAGGCTATGCCCCCTGGTTCTAGTTTCACCCGCCAGTGGAAACAACCTCCCTGTTTCTATCATATCTATTCCCTTCATTATTTTTCCCAAAGCATTAGCCAAGGCATTTGGATTACTGGTCGTGCGATGTTATCACTACATCATCTCCCACACAGGTTGAGTTCTCTCAAAGGTCACCTGTTTGCTACTGAAACAAAGCTGATAAAAGGAAACATAGAATGAAATTTTTGTATTTGTTCATGAAAACTGCAAAACCAGCATTATTCCCCATTAATAATTGCACTTGAGAAAATGAGCTGCCTTCTTGTATTGCTGCAACCCATATGGTTTACGTATGCCTACAGTGCTACAGTATGGAGGGAGTTCCAGGGCTTTGATGAAGAAGCTGTGATAAAGGCAGAATATTTTGAAAGAAAATATATTTTCTTACAGTATACATGTTTTCCTGTTTGCTGTGGCTGACCTGTATTCATGTTTTCATTGTAGATTTACGGTATTCGCAGGTTTTCTTTACGTGTTCATTTATAATGCATTATTAATACAGTATTATTCTAATATTATTAATTATAAGAAATTATTGGTGCTGTTATAAAGCAGACGATGACTCCCCACTCTGAGAACTAATACTGAAATATCCAAAGAGGAGCACCTCGCCCTATAATCTGTTAAAAAGAGTGTGAAAAGTAGTCTAACTTGCTCTTCAGCAAATTCTAGTGGTTAAATAAACCAAATCCCTGACACTCACTTTATAATCAACAAGTAACAATTTATTTATCTAACTCTAACAGTGAAAAAATTAACTAAATTATTAACAAACTGAATACATCCCTTCTAGCTACTGACTAGTACCGAATAAAACAAGATTCCAATTGCGTGCTGTCCCAATAAATATAGGTCCCACTTATATAAAATAAAATAATTTAAAAAAAGATTTAGTCTCTTGAAATTACAGCCAGATTAAGTGTCTTCTGGAATGCTCTGTGCCTTCTCCGTCGAATGTTCTGTCAGGAATATTAACTAGTTGTGCTGTAGGTACCTTTGATTTAGATAGTGCTTTTTCTAACACTTAGAGAAGACTGTGAGAGCTAGCGATTCTCTCTTGAGAGTTGAGAGCTGTTAACTCTAGCAGATGGCAGTTGACACTCTTGATTTTTCAACTGCCCTTTTCTTTTATACCCTTGATGACATATCAATATTTCTTACAAAAGGATTGGCTCTATGTTGTCAAAACCATCGGATTTAAATTTATATGTTTTTGGTATCTAAGTGCCTGATTCGAATTGATTGGCTAAAAACAAAATTGCTGCTTGACTTGCTAACAGTACAGCCTTTTGATACAAATGTTTAATCTGGGTGCTCTCTGTGCACCTGCAAACCCACAAGCTCCTTCCTACAGACATCCTTTTTGAATCTCTAAGATTAGAAAAAGCACATGATGTTTTAAAGGGACCATGCACTGCTATCCCCCCTAGCATTTACAAACACCAAATTCTAACTTCTTGCCTTCCAATCCACAACTACTCTACCAACTTCACAACAGTGCTTCACATCCACCACACAAATCCTTTTCTCTTCAAGAATGGGTTCATATACGTAGTGTCTGATAACCCTGTTTTCCTCTCCTTTTGTGTTTCAGGTGTTGCACGTCTTCTTTTTTCTTATGGAGATATTACTTCCTTGATAAAAGTCTTCAATGCATTTGTAAGTCATCTTCCAAGATACCAATTATGGAATTAGAGTGAGTCATAACAATCAGGAAAATATCAGGTTTGCTACTGATATGTGCCGAGTCATCTGAATTCAACTGAGGCAGTACAGGTTTGGTATCAATGCATCTGTGTTAGGAGGTGCTATCCTATGGCCCTTTCTGGTTGTATATATGAATGTTTCCTGAATGATGTCCTTCCACAGTCAGTACTCATTGATTAAAAAAGGCCAGGAAATCACAATGTACCAATGGGACTGCACCATGGGAAGGTATCTATACCTTCAAGACAGGATTGGTGATAGAATTAGTGAAATAAAAGGGGAGATTAATGGAATGCTAATAATTAATGTTTTGCATCGTGAGTTAACTTTGGGTGTTGCTTTTGCTCAACTGGACATTATTCATATATATAAGCATTCCTCTGACCACGTATCATAGTGTGTGCTACTTTGGATTGCCAGGTATGGAAGCATGGCCACTGCATTTGTCACCATCCCATAATTGCTTTTGAACTGAATGGTTTGCTAGGGCATTTCAGAGAGCAGTTAAGAGTGAACCACATTACTGTAGATCTGGAGTCACACTTGGTGCAGACCAAGTAAGGGCAGCACATTTTTTTTTTGTTGTAGGATGTCAGTGATTCTGATGAATTTTTATAGAATCATAGATTACAGAATGATACAGCTTGGAAACAGATCCTTCAGTTCCAACCAGTCCATGCCAAACATAATCCCAAACTAAACTATTCCCACCTGCCTGCTCCTGGCCTACATCCCTCCAAACCTTTGCTATTCATATATCTGTCCAAACATCTTTTAAACATTGTAATTGTACCCACATCCACCAATTCATCAGGACGTTCATTCCACACGTGAACCACCACCTGTGTAAAAAAATTTGCCTTTTATGTCATTTTTAGATCTCTCTCCTCTCACCTTAAAAATGTGTCCCCTCGTCTAGAAATTCTCAATCTTGGGGAAAAGACAACTACCATCAATCCTATCTATACCTCTCAATAGTTTATAAACTTCTATCAGATCACATTTCAACCTCCTATGTTCCAGTGAAAGACATCCCAGCCTATCCAGCCTTTCCTCATAACTCAAGCATTCCAGTACTGGCAATGTCCTGGCAAATCTCTTCTGAACCCTCTCCAGCTTGATAATATCCTTCCTATAACTGGGCAAACAGAAGTGGACACGGTATTCCAGAAGAGGCCTCACCAATGCCCTGTACAACCTCAACACCAACATCCCAACTCCTATACTCAAAGAACTGAGCAATGGAGGCAAGTGTGTTAAATGCCTTTTTAACCATCCAGTCTATATGGGACGCAAACTTTAAAGAATAATGTACCTACACCTGTAGGTCCCTCTGTTTTACAACACTACCCAAGGCTTTTCAGCTCATTGACCCATTTGATCAAGATCCTTCTGTAATCTTAGAAAACATTCTTCACTGTCTACAATGCCACCAATTTTGATGCCATCTGCAAACTTACAAACCATGCCTTCTATATTCTCATCCAAATCTTTTATATAAATGACAAACGAAAGAGTACCCAGAACTGATCCCTGTGGAACACCGCTGGTCACAGGCCTCCAGTCCAAAAAGCAACCCTCTTCAATTACTCTCTGTCTTCTGCTGCTAAGTCAATTATGGATCAAATTGACAAGCTCACCCTGAATCCCATGTGACCTAACTTTTCTAATTAGTCTACCATGCAGAACCTGGTCAAAGGCTTTAGTAAAATCCAAGTAAACAATGTCTACTGCTCTGCCATCATCAACTTTTTTGATAACTTCCTTAAAAAAACTCAATCAAGTTTGTGAGACACGATTTTCCTTGCACAAAACCAAAGATCAATTTTTGCCCCTCAAAATGTCCATAAATCCTATCTTTTATGATCACCTCCAATGATTTACCCACAACCGAAGTCAGACTCACAGGTCTATAGTTCCCTGGTTTCTACTTACAACCTTTCTTAAACAAAGGTACAACATTAGCCACTATCCAGTCATCAATCTATGATCTTTTAATTTTCACTGTACTGAGAATAGTTTTCAATTCCAGATTTTATTACTGAATTTAAATTCCACCATCTGCCGTGGTGGGATTTGATCCCATGCCTCAATGCTTGAACCTCTGAATTACTAGTCAAGTGATATTAGAACTACACTACCATCTCTTCCAAAAGATTGTAGAGATTATTTTAATTTTTAGTCAAGATTAATTAAAGATTAATTAATAGACAATTACTTTGGGTGACCCCATAGAAAAGCCTTATAAGCAGTTTTCATATGTTTTACTTGAACTGCCTACTAGCATCAAGGCTTCATATGCCAACGATGCAATTTGCACATTGTACCTGGGTCTTCTAAACAGTTAATCCATGGATTGCAAACAATTGTTAATATCATAGTCACCTTTATCGACATAAATTGTGTTGGGGAACCATCGGTAGGACCATGTGTCAGGATCCTCGGCTTGGAGGTGGGAGTGCACGTAATGAAAGTTTGCAGAATATCGTCTTACCAGAGTTGGCAATCCTACCTCAATCACAATTGTAAAGCTTATGATCCTTGTTCCCCACAAAGAAATGATATACTCCCTCAGCACTGGTCTAAACAATAGCCTCTTATTTCATAATGTTAAATTTCATCACCTTACAATTCCCAGGAAAAGCATAGGATATAATATGTGCATTGGATCAACTATCTGAGGATAACAGTCTAATTAAATGGCCTGAGGCCTGACTTTGATAGTGAACTCTCCTTCCTCTGTTTCCTTGTTGCTTGTTATTGCTTAAATGTTTTAATGTAACAAAACAGAAGAGAAATAAACAAGAATAGGGTATGTCTATCTTCCATTTGCATGAAAGAAAATAGATGCTTTCATTTTTTTAGGACAACGTAACTGAAAAAATCACTTGTAGTAAATTTGAGATATCGGAAGGTGGAGATTATGCTGCTTTGACTCTTGAAGGTAAAGCTTTCTCTAAATTCTTGAATGTTCCTAAATGTTTGCACGTTATATTAACTGATTATTCAACAGATTGTTCTTTGTGACCGCTTACTTAAGCATATTGACAATACTTCAAAATAATTCACTAATTTACTTCAGGAGCAGCAAAATCGTTACGGGAGAGGACATTACGCTCCTCCTTATATGTTTCCTCTAGTCATGCAAGAGATACATTAACAATCTCCTTAGCTGTGGGAGTAATATTCAAGTCTTGAGCAGACTTGGGCTTCATTGACTTAAGAGTTATTGATGTCAAATTCAACTTCAATGGTGGAGGTAGCTGACTGATTTTTGTTTTTCGACTTTAACGGAAAGGAATCTCAACAAGGGTCTTTGTAGCAAGTTGATCCAGTACTGCTTGTTTGGTAACCCCAAGGAAGATGAATTTATTGCCCCACTGAACAAGAACATGGAATGATAGAATGCTTCTACATCTTTTGTACCCACTCTCTGCAGTAAGCACTCCCAGATCAAGTACTGCCAGATCCATCAATAGATGAAAATTGTCATGGGAAGGAGAAAGGACAAACAGGCATTTGTATTTTCAATTTGACGTAAAATGCAACATTTATAACTCACCAAATTACTAGGTGGGTGGAAAGTGCACCATATATTAAATGTAATTTTGCAAAACAATTCTTGAGTTAAAGGTATTTAACTCGCTCACAGGCTGGGAGCTTTTCCATTCTGGAGTTTCTCTCTATTGTTGCCAAAGATTGTAGAGAAGGCTGATGTCCATGAGTATCATCTGAACTGTTTTTGCAGGGCTGAAGATGGGTGTCTTTTACATATGCATGTTTCATGGATGCAGGTACTCATATATATCTGCAGATAAGTTAATCAGGTCTAATTTTAGTGACCTAAGCCTACGAAACATGATGGATTAGGCCAGGTAGGAGCTGGTCTAAATTTTGTGCAGTACTTTGGTGAGATGGGGGTACCCTTATGGAGAGGTAGAGTATGCCTTTGGATATGGTCCAGAATACCTTTGAAAGATGTAAGCTTCACTTTTGATAGGTGCGTTTGGAAATGTTAAATGTAGATGTGAATCTGCCTAAAAAATACGTAGAGTTTTTACCAGTTAAGCTCATTGGAACAATCAACAAAGTTGTCAGAAGCAACTGTCAAAACTAATTGTCAAGTTGTCAAAACATTGAAAACACATGTTTTTTTCAATGTTTGAAAGATTGGTTGCTATTGCTTGCTATTTCACTGTTAGCATAAACCAAAGATTTTCAGTACTGGATTAGTGCTGGATGACTGATTTCATAACCCTCCATTATCACAGTGAGGTTTCAACCAGTTCATAGTTTGGTGGAATCTCCCTGTTTTTATAGATTCTTTGAAATGGCATAATTTATTCCAGAGTTTGTTATATAAGAGATTAAGAGACTTGAAATAAAACTTGATCTTTTAATAAGGGATTATTTGAACTAATGTAAAAACATTGGATTTTTTTCTGTGAATGAGTGTTTTGTTTTACATAAAGTCTACAATAGACATTTTGAACTTTGTTTTATTTCATCTTAGCATGGAGTTTGAGGTCTGATCATGAGTGTTATTGTGTGTATTGACACAGAAGGTGTGAGGGAAAAGTGTGGTGAGTGGGGCATTGGACTGGTGTAAATTCACATTAAATTTTCATTGAGGCTAATGAAAGAAATTGGGCTTGGGTGGAAGGCATAGATACGCATAGCGTTTATAAAGGACCATGGGGTTGGTTAAAAGAGCATAGGTTAGCAAATGGATTATAATGAGCCATTGGAGACTCAGTTTGAGGGACATATGTAAGAATGGAGGTTTTGAGGGGATATACAGAATAGAATAGAATAGAATAGAATAGAATATATGATCAATAGGAGGACATGAGGCAGCATGAGTTAGCACAGATGGGTCTTGGGGAGTATTCTGGGGACATATGGGGTGAGGGCTGCGAAGTTGTGTAGTGTTTTATTTCAAACTTGCAACACAATCCTGAAACTCCAAGACAGTCCTTCTACCCAGCTCATCTCTGCATTGAGCTCTTGTTTTGGAGTCACCGAGTCCAATTTCTAGGGAATCCAGCACCCTAGAATGAACATAGCACTTCCTCCCAAGTCGGGTGTGCAGACTGAGGAAATATATGCACTCAGAGCAAGAGAGAAAATTCAGGCCACAGTGTTTCACTTAATGAGAGAAAAAGTACGAAGTAAAGTATTTTTGATATGCCAGCCATAAGCACTCCTTCCTCAGGCCAGTTTGTCTTGTTCTGGTTCTATGGTGCTACTCAAAGTGGATAACTCTGGTTTCTCAGCCAACATTTTTTGGCAGAAAACAGCATCCCCAAAGCAGAGGGGATTGGGGTCCTCACGTGGGTAACTTTCATGAGGTCTCAAATTCAATATTAACATCTGTTATCTTCTTGATGTTCTCGCAATTAGCTGGGCAAATGTGGTATGTTGTCAACAGTAAGCAGAAATATCTGAATAATGCTATTCGCAATGAAATTCACCATTGTTGCAATTTCTGGTCCAATGATTGCTCTTCAATAAGTACATGAGATAATAAGCAATAGGAGTATTAGTATGCAATTCAGCCCCTGGTGTCTGCTCTGCCATTCAACAAGATCATGGTTAATCTGTCCCAGGCTTCAACTCCTTTTTCATGCCAACTCATCATAGCCTTCAATTCCTTGATATTTCAAAAGTCTATCCACTTCTTCTTAAATAGTTTCAGCAAGTTTGCCTTCATAACTCGCTGGGGTAGAGAATTATAAACATTCATGAGCATCCAGGAAATGGAATTCCTACACATCTCAGTTTTAAATTCGAATCATAGAATCATTACAATGTGGAAGCAGGCCATTCAGTCTACTGAGTATATGCTGACCCTCTGAAGAGCATCCCACCAGACCGCTCCCTACCCTACCCCCCTGCATTTCCCATAGCTAATCCATCTAACCTGCACATCCCTGGATACTATGGGCAATTTACCATGGCCAATCCATCTAATCTGCACATCTTTGGGCTGTGGGAGGAAACCCACAGAGACACGGGGAGAATGTGCAAACTTCACACAGACAGTCGCCCGAGGGTGGAATTGAACCTGGGCCCTGTGAGGCAGCAGTGCTAACCACTGAGCCACCTGAGTTCTGTGGAAGGGCCCAAAACGTTAACTCTGATTTCTCTTCACAGATGCTGCCAGACTTGCTGTGCTTTTCCAGCAACTTCTTTTTTGTCCCTAAGTATCTTGTATGTTTCAATAGGACCACCCCTCATTCTTCTAAGTTCTAATAAGTAAAGGCCAAATTTGTTAAGGGATTCTTGGTAAGTCAACTCTTTCATACCAGGAATTAGTCTCGTGACTCTTTTGAACTGCCTTCGATGCCAGTATATCTTTTCTTAAATACAAGGGAAATATGGCACGTAGTGCTTCAGGTACAGACTCAACAATACCCTATATAGTTTTAATAAAACTTTGCCATTTTTAAACTCCAAATCCCCTCACAATAAATGCCAAAGTTCCATTTGCCTTCTTAATTACTTCCTGCACCTGCATGCTATTTTTGTGTATGTCATGCACAGGAACACCTGCTGCACTTTTTCGGAATCTCTCTCTGTTTAAGTAATAGTCTGCCTTTTGATTCCTCCTACCAAACAGAATGACATTTCCAACATTAAAACCATCTGCCAAGTTTTTGCCCACTCATTTAGCCTACCCGTATCTCTTTGCAGATTCCATATGTTCTCATAACAACGTGGACTCCAACCCACTTTTGTAACAAAGTTAAACGCATTACATTCTGCTCCTCCTCCAAGTCATTAACATAGGTAGTAAATAATTGAGGTCCTAGGCCTGATTCTTGTGGCACTCTACTGGTTATATCTTTCCAACCTGAAAAAGATCCATTAATCCAGACATCCTGTCTCCTGTGTGTTAACCAATCCTTAATTCATACCAATATATTATCCATAGTACTGTGAGCTCCGATCTTGTGCAATAACCTTTTATATAGCACCTTAACGTATACATTTGGTAAATCCAAATACATTACATCTATCAGTTTCACCTTTATCAGCGTTGCTTGTTATATCCTCAAAGAATTCTAGCAAATTTGTCAAACATGATTTCCCTTTCACAAAACCTTGTTGATTGTGTGATTGCATTAAGCTTTTCTAAATGCCCTGCCATTTCATCTTTAATAATGGATTATAGCATTTTCTCAATTTTTTTCATCCTATGATCTGTAAGTCCTGATCTGTAAGTATGATCTGTCTGTACTACTCGCAAACAAAGCTTTTCACTGTACTTAGGTACATATGACAATGAATTAAATCATCTTCATCATCATGACAGATGTTAGCTAACTGGTCTATAGTTTCCTGCTTTCTGTCAATATTTCATTATATGCAAAGGATTTTGGGATTCTAGCAAAGAAGAAGTTCGTTGGTTCATTGTTGAGAAGTTAAGTGCAGACCAAAAGCAAACTAACCTAAACTACAAATCTCTGTGTGTAGCATCCTCATGTTCTCAGTGCCAACCTTTAAATAATGAAGCGTGGTCAAGTTATGCATACAAAGAAAACCAGCTGAACAGCTTTCAACTCCTCTGCCTCAGATGAATATGGGACATTTCTTGGGGCAAAACAGTGTCAAATAAAGAAGTACATTAGTGTGCAGGGGTCCCCAGCATGTTTGCCATTGAGTCAATGTGAATCCATTTATTGGGTCATAGGAGCAGAATGGATGTTGACGACATCCTCAAAGACATGTCCTATGGCAAGCTTTCTTTTGGCATGAAACTCACAATTCACCCATGTCTGTGACGCAAAGATGTCTGCAAGTAAAATCTCAAGTTGACCGGAATCAGGATCAGTGCATGGGACATTCATGTTGCTAACCTGGAGACAATGATTCAGTGAGGATGTGGTAAAAGCAGAGGATCAAAGAAATGACTGGATGACAGAGCAGAGAGCTCAGCTG